CGGGAAGACTTGGGGGAAAAGAGACCAGCGGAGGGAGCGTCGCCCGGAGAGCACGCGGGATCCCGTGGCTGCTGCTACTTCTTTTTTTTTTTCCTGACGCTTCCTTGCTCGGCCGCCGCGTGGGTTCGGCCGGGGAGTCTCCAAAGCGCAGGCGCCGACGGGGCGGGGCAGAAGGAAAGGGGAAAAAAAAAAAGGGGCGTGTGTGTGTGTGTGTGGAAGTGGAAGAACCGACGACGACGACGACGAGGCGGCTTGGCTGCGCCCGAGGTCGCAGGTAAGGCTCCACCGGCGCGGGGCTGGGGGTCCGCCCCCCCCCCGCGTCCTCTTTCCCCTTCGCTGCCCTTCTCACACAAGCAAGCCGCTTCCTCTCCGTCCTTTCCCTCCTCGGCCAGCCGAGCCCTTCCCCCCGGCTGCAACAGCCCACTGTGGCTCGCCTCTGCCCTTTCTCTTCTCTCCCTCCTAGTCTTTAGTTGCCTTGAAACTCCCGGTGATGAAGGGCGTGATTATTGCTCGGCTCAGGGCAACAAAAAAACCCCCCAAAACCTCGGGGTTACATACTCTTAATATGCAGGGAGGCTCCCGGGAACCTTTGGCCACTTGAAGCCTTGGCGGACTTCAACTCCCAGAATTCCCCCAGCCACCCAGAATGGCGGGTGTGAAGCAAAGACTGCCCGAGGGAATTCTGGGAGTTGAAGTCCGCCAAGGCTTCAAGTGGGGGAGCTTCCCTGCTCTATAATGTCAAAATGGGGGACTGTTTCCTTAAGCTGCTGTTGCCAGCGCGTGATTGTGTTTAACGGTGTGTGTGTCTCCTCCGGTTCCTGCTTCTTGTGGGTCCACCGTCTACAGAGCGCAAAGTACAAGTTTCTCGGGGCCAAATTGGCGTGAGGTTTTTTTTTTTTTTTGAGGCAAGATGCCCGAAGCGAGAATGCATCAGGGTTGTGGTGTCTCTTGAGGATGCCTGGAGGGCATTTCCTCAGCCAGGAAGTAGTAGCCTCCTCTTTCTTGCTCTTGTGCCTTCTCTGGAGTGAGAAATGGGGAATTTGAGCAGGAAGGAGGCTGTTTCTAGCCATTCGGAGCACTCATATTTCTCCTCTAAATGAATAGAAATCCTTTTATTGGCCAAGTGTGATTGGACACACAAGGAATTTGTCTTGGTGCAAATGCTCTCAGTGTACATAAAAGCAAAGATACATTCATCAAGAGTCAAGAGGAAGAAGAAGAAGAGGAGGAGGAGGAGGAGGATAGAGAATAGAATAGAATAGAATAGAATTCTTTATTGGCCAAGTGTCATTGGACACACAAGGAATTTGTCTTGGTGCAAATGCTCCCAGTGTACATAAAAGAAAAGATACATTCCTCAAGAGTCAAGAGGAAGAAGAAGAAGAAGAAGAAGAATAGAATAGAATAGAATAGAATAGAATAGAATAGAATAGAATAGAATAGAATAGAATAGAATTCTTTATTGGCCAAGTGTCATTGGACACACAAGGAATTTGTCTGGGTGCAAATTTACTCTCAGTGGTACATAAAAGATACATGATACAAATGGCATTCTTTATCTTTTTGGGGGGGAGAGCAGGCAGCAAAATATGATAGGGTGGATTTTTAAAAACTGAACTTGTTTCCCTGGCATGGAAGCCTATAATGTATGCTGTCACAAGATTAGAGCTGTTGCATACCCAGACAGATTAGCCTGATCTAATTATCTTTTTTTTTTTGCTCCTATTGCTCTTTGAGTCATGAAAGTTGAATTTTCAATTCTCTGTATGGATAGAGAGAATCCTTGGGGTGAAGAAGTAATTTTTGTGACCAGTCCTCGTGTTTATGACCTTCACAGGTCTGTAAAGCTAAAGAAAGCCGAAGTAACGTAATTGTAAAAGTCCGCTCTGTTGTAGGCACTGCACAAAGGGTCGTGCAACATATTTAGCTGCCAGTGTAATATTATGACAGATCGTTTTCGATTTACAACCACAATTGGTATCAGAATTTTGCATTGCTAAGGAAGGTGGTTACATGAGCCCCCCCTCCATTTTATGAACTATCTTGCCACGGTTGTTAAGCAAAACATTGAGTTGCTAAGAGAATCATGTAGTCATGAAACAAATTGGCTTCCGCCCGTTGACCTTGCTTGTTGGACCTAGTAGAAAGTTCACAGGTAATAATCATATGATTGTGAAATGCTTTAGCTGTCACAAAGAGTCATATGAGGCTGATCGTAAGTCACCTTTTTCAGTGCCATTGCAGCTGTGAGTGGTTGCTAAACACATGGTTGTAAGCTAAATAATACCTGTGTACAGTGTAACTTCTGTATCTCACTTTCCCCCATCCTCTTGTTTCTTTCTCATCCTTCACCAGATTTTTAGTTCCTGTTGTGGTAGGCCATCTGATACTCCCGAAATCATAAAAGACTATTTTATAACAAGTTACGCCTGGCTTTATCTAACCTTTACTCTTAGTGCTGACTGGTAGTGGCTGCTCTTGTTGTCAGGCACAATTTTTTCCAGCCTAAAAGGTGGAACCAAAAGCTTGACACTTAACTGCAACCTTGTTTAAAGGTCACAGGATTTGGGCAGGTATATATTCGCAGGTATATATTCCACTGTTTCATTTCTTCTGTTTTCTTACTGTGCCAGCCATTTATATTTGTCCTGCCCCTTTCTTCTCTTCTGCCCCAAGTATTTGAAGTGTTTCAGTATTGTGGTCTGTCCTTTCAGAACTATATCTCTTGGGCAATTCTGCATATATTGCTAATACTTTGTCTACAGCCTTCACCATTTATAGACCTATTAAGGTCATAGGTTCAGATTAGGTGGATGACAGATTCCTAAGCCATGAGTAATTGGCAAGCCCTTTTCCATGGATATGAAGGAATTGGGTTCTTCTTTTGTGTACCTTTAAATTTTGGTATGTGGCACCAAAAAGAAGCAATGTGATTTCAGTACCATCTCTCTGCATTACAAGCTGACCCCAAAATACCTCCCCCATAATGAACACACTGTTCATTAAACGTTGTATCTGAATTTTAGATAATGTCCTGATGGATGGGATAGGGCCTGTCAGATCACAGAAGATATTCTAGAAGGCAGGGGCTGCAACAGAAAAAGACATGCTTCCGAGGACCCACAAAATTGCACTGTTTGCGGGAAGGAACACACTTCCCCTTTCTGTTCCGATGGAGCAGATATAATTGCAAGTTATGGAGCTTTGTTATTCTGAATTCCCCCATCGTTTCTTCAAATTACTTCTTTTAAATGTCTCTCTACCTTTTTAATGAAGTCTCTGGCCTTTCAGGTGGTCTCCACTCAATGTAGGTGTATATATAGTGAAGGAAAAACTACTGTTGTTATTTAGGTCTGCATCTATTTTTCCTGCACCTCTCCTGTTTTCAAATTATAACCCCTGAAAAAAAATGATATGGCCTACTTGAATTCCATTTATGTTACAGTTGGCAGTTGAAAAAGGTATATCTTTTTGCACCTTTCCATTACATTAGCATTTTAGAATTTTTCAGAGATGCTCCCACAGTGTTTTTGCTGTTTCATATTTCAGGCTTGATGAAAATGTCATCTTTTTAATAAATAGCATAATTATAACAAATGTGTCAGTTGACATGTATTTTTTGTAATATATGTATCTTACTATTAAATCCATTGAAACAGTAAATTGCAAAACAATTGATTCAGAATCTTTAGACTAAGGCACAGTGTGTATTTTGCATGAATCTTTGGAATTCTTACAAAATGTAATGCAATGACCATGATTGTCCCAAAGGTGCTTTTTCAAGAGGCAACTGGTCTTTCTGATTTTCTTTGAAGACATTTCGCTTCTCATCCAAGAAGCTTCTTTAGCTTGAAGGCCAAGGCGATCAATCTTCAGAAGGATACTGCTTTGTATGACACTCTGAAGAGAGACCCTCACCAGCAGATACAAGAAAAAGGTCATTGAAAACTGAAATCACTTCTACCGACAGAAATATTGGAACAGGCCACAGAATTTATAAAAAAGGCACAACTAGCATAGCACAACAAAAGCAAAGAACAACAAAAAGGCAAATTTTCTGCCTTATAGTTTAGATAGGAAAAACACACAAAACAGAAAAACTAACCCAGATGGACAGTGATATGACCGATGGGTGAGAATCTGTCTGACAGAGAGCTTACCCAAACAGAAGATAATGTTTTGGCCAAAGGACTGAATTTTTTAGTCACACCCATACAGCTACCAACTGTAGATCTCCTCACAGCCATGGAGTCAGCCATCAGGAACAATAACTAGCAGAACAACATTAAGGATGAAGATATCTGCAGTCCTCACCAGTGCCGAAACACCCCCTTCCAACTTCACAATTCAAGAAAGGAGAGCAGTGACATCCCTAGGAAGACACCCCAGACACCAACATCCTACCAGCTGATAAAGGAAGATGCAGTCATCTTGAACACTGATTGCTACAAGGTGAACAATCTTCTGAAGGACACTGCTATGCATGAGATTCTGAAAACAGACTCCACCAGCAGTTACAAGAACAAGGTCATCTTCAAAGAAAAACCAGAAAGTCCAATTGCCTCTTGAAAAAGCACCTTTGGGTCAACCATGACTTTGATAACTGAGAAACTCCATAGACAGATGGCCATGATTCTTTGTATTCTTTATTCTGTAGGTATTCTTTTGTCATTCCTATTGTGTAATCTATATATATAAAGAGAAATACAACTCAGGCATCATAGCAAAATTTCCAGAACAATAAAGCCTACAAAAATTGAAATTGGCACGTATGTTTTTCTTGGCTTCTAGGTGCTCACTAAGAAAGGATTTTTCAAAATGACCATCAGCGCATTAGTATTTCATATATTATTATTCTCTGATGCTAAGGAGTTCTACTACTCCTCTCCACCTGAAAAGAAATCTGTTCCAAATGCAAAACACAAGCAGAGGACAGGAGTTTCGGTTTCACAGCAGCAAACAGCTTTAGTACAGAACAGTTGAGCTAAGACATGCCCAGGCTCCTTGCTGTTTCCTTCTTGCTCACACAGCAAATACTGTTTCAGTTTCCATGTTTCAGTTTCCAAAGAGCCCTCAACTCTCTCACACACTGACAGGACACTAGCCAGATGAATACCGATGGATGCTGGTAGGCAGAGGCAGAGGTGGTATTCAGCAGGTTCTGACCAGTTCTGGAACACCGGTAGCGGAAATTTTGAGTAGTTCAGAGAAGCGGCAAATTCCACCTCTGGCTGGAGATTTTACAGTATCCTTCCCAGCCATGCCCACCAAGCC